AGGTGCCCGCACCCGCCGGCGCTGGCGGCGGGGCGGCGCCCCCGCCGGCTGCAGCCGCCGAGGAGGGCAGCGCGAGGCGCGAGCGCGGCACGGCCGCCAGCCGACGCCGCTGGCAACGACGCCGCTGGCAACGACGCCGACGACGCCCAGGACTCCAACGGCGCCGGACGGCGACGACGAGCGAAGACGCCGAAGATGCCAACGACGCCAGACGGCGACGACGGGGACGGCGACAAAGCCCGACGACGGCGACAGCACCGACGCCGACGAGGGCGTCAACGACGCCGACGACGGCGCACCCCAGAGCTTTCGGCAGGAGGAGGAGGAGGAGGAGGAGGAGGAGGAGGAGGAGGACGGTGGAGGGAGAAGGGGGAGGAGGAGGAATAGGAGGAGGAAGTGGAGGAGGAGGAGGAGGAGGAGGAGGAGGAGGCGGAGGAGGAGGAGGAGGAGGGAGGGGGGTGGGGAGGCGGAGGAGGGGGGGAGGACGGAGGAGTAGGAGGAGGGGGGGGGGAGGCGGGAGGAGGGGAGAGGAGGAGGCGGAGGAGGAGGAGGAGGAGGAGGAGGAGGAGGAGGAGGGAGGGGGAGGAGGAGGAGGAGGAGAGGAGGAGGAGGAGGAGGAGGAGGAGGAGGAGGACCAAGAGGAGGTGGGTTGAGGTGGAAGAGGAAGAGGAGGTGGGCGACGCCAGCGCGGGCGTTCACTGCCCGCAGGAGACAGACAACTGTGCGAAACCCATACGAATGAATGATCGGTCCGAAGGCGTCTGGCGACCTCTCAGAATGGAGATCCCGCAATAGTGAATGGTCCACACGGAGTGAGAAACCAAGGCTGACGTTGCAAAGGCAGGAGTTTGCTGCGGCTACCTGGTACGGATACTGCGCACGGTGCTTTCCGTTGCGTACACGACATACGCAGCCTCACTACATGCATTCGTGATTCGATGCACCAAGGGTTCTGTCAATATATTTATGGTGAACCCAGCCAGGACTTTAGGAGGCTCGCGAATTCCTGATCAACCGCACTTCAGATTGTCGGCGTAGCTGGTCAGCGTAGCTGGGTTGGTTGGTTAGGTTGGTCGGTCGGATGATTGGCTAATGTGTTGGCAGGCTGGCAACTCCGCTGGTCGGCTGGTTGGCTGGCTTGGTGATGAATTTGCTGGATGCCTTGCTGGCTGGTCGGATGGCCGCTTCGTTTGTTGGCATCTGGGCTTAAGGAGAGGAAATCAGTGGAAGGGACAGGACCAGGGTCGTGTTCCATGAGGAACTGTGGCTGCGCCCTCGTAGTTTGCCAGGGGTTGTGGCTGCATAAGCGCGGATCCATAGTCTTTGCGAGGGATCGTGGCCTCGGGAACGCGCATCCATAGTTTTGGTTGCTTCGGGTCGTGGCTTCGGGAGCGCGGAGCCGTTGTGTGGGGACACGCGGGATGGTGGCCTCGGGGCCGCGGATCCGGATTGCCCTGTCCCAAACCCTCCGGCATTGGCCCTTACAAAGAGCACTGTTGGTCCTCCCGCCTGTCCCCTCTCTTCTGCTTGCTCCCCCTCGCGCCTCGCCCCCCTCCTCGCGCCTCCTGCTCCGCCTGCCCCATCTTTGCCTTATCCTCTTGCCTCGTCTCCTCTACGGCCCAGCGGAGTGTCGCCCCGCGCAGGCCGAAGATAGACCTCGTCTTCCCTGGGCGCTGCCAGGAGCTTGATTGTCGCCACGTTGCTGGTACCCCGGGGGACCGAGCAGACCAAACCGAGACCTCACCACACTGGGCGCTGCCAACTGCTCGACTGCCGCCGCTTTCTCGTGCGTCTACGGAGTGAGACGCAGCGCAGTTCTGCGCAGGCCCAAACGAGACCCCGCCTCCTTGGGTGCTGCCAGTTGCGCAACCATCGCCACTTCAGTGAGCTCCCAGGGGGGGTGGTCAAGCGCCGTGCGCTCCCACAGACGTCGGCGGTTCGATTCGTTTGACTCGCAGGCGGCAAGACTCTCAGCTCCTTCCCTCGAGGGCGTAAAAAAGGCCCCTACCCTTGTTTACGAGGTCCTGTGCGCTGAACCTCCTGTGGGCTGACAGGGGAAACCCTGCGTATCGCGCGGCGTCCTGGCGGCTCTCTTGCCTTTGGGAGGTCCCAGGAGGTGTAACCCAGCGTTTTTTCCTCCCTCGATTCTCCCCGTGCCGGCTTGCTGACGCGGCCGAGCCTCGCTTGACGCGGGGCTCGTCCGTCCGCCTACCCGCCTGCCCGCCTCTCCCCCTCGCTACTCCCCTGCCCAGGTATCCTCGTCTTCGGGGCGCCCGCTCCAGCTCTCTCTCTCTCTCTCTCTTTCTCCTCCTCCTCCTCCTGCTCCCTCTGCTCCTCCTCCTCCCTGGGCCTGGCTTTTCATCCTCAGCCCGGTCGTTCTCGTCGTCTTCGTAGCCGCCGCTGCCGCCACGTCGGTCGCCGCCGCCGCCGTCGTCTGCCCCAGGGCCAGCAGCGTTCCTCGCCGTTGGTCGGAGTCGTCATCGTAGCCGCAGGTGCCGCCGACTTCGGCCGTCGTCGGCGCCGCCGCCGCCGTCGTCGGTCCGGGGGCCAGCAGCGTGCCTCCAGACGCCCTACAGTGGTGAATCAGACTGGCTGCATCGATCTTCTCGAGACGCCGGGCACCCAGGATCGCCGCGGCGGGCGGCCTGAGCGCGGTCGACGGCGCTGCCCGCGCCATCGGTCGTCCAGAGTCGGGCGAAGGGGGGAAGATTGGGACATGGGGGGGTGCAGATCTGCTGCACGCAGCTGGTTTTGATGCCTCTGCAGGTCCATCTCCTCCTCGACACATGGCGGCCTCCTGCGCGGGGAGGCGACGACAAAACCATCTGCATGCCGCCGATTCGCAACGCTCCTCCCCTTTGCTATCCCCCCGTCTCGTCTGCTCCGATCGTCGTTGTCTTCGTCGTCGTCGCCGCCGCCGTCGGTCGCCATCGTCCTCCGTCGACGTCGTCCGTCGGCGTCGCCGCCGCCGTCGCCGCTGTCGCCGTGCGCCGTCGTCGTCGCGCGGCAGGCGGCCCGGCAGAGACGACAGCGTCGTCTCGGCGGTGCTGGCGGAGGCGCTGGCGGCGGACCGCGCCGTGATGGCCGTCAGCGCGGGCGCGGCCCGGCAAGGGGCGGAGCCCGGTAGGGGCGAGGCGCCCGAGCCGCGCCGCAGGCCGCCGTGGTCGGAGGAGGTCTCGGCCTCCCAGGTGCGGGCGGAGTAGGACGTGGTCGGTGGGTCGCGCCGCATCGACGACGCATCACCGATGCAGCTCGATGTGGAGCCCGATCTTCTCCACGCCGACGGCGCCGATGCATCGCCGACGTCGCCGATGCATGTGCGATGCATCGGCGATGCGACGCGATCCTCCGACCCCATCTTCTCGGACCCCATCTCGGAGGCCTCTAGAGGAGGGAGGGGAGTGGCGAGGATTTGTGTTTTGTGTCTGGGGCTTTAGCTCCGAAGCGGTTCCTCGGCGTGCTATTCATGACGGTCTTGGAGGGTCAGAGCGGGCAGTGGGCAGGCAAGACGTGTACTCGACAAGTTGTTCGCTGCTGGACGACAGACGGAAGGTGTACATACGGGTTGTAACAGGCTTAAGAGCAAGGAGACCCTTGCCACTTGCCCTGCCCAGAAGCATCGCTTCTGTGGGGTTCGCGCACATGGCACGGCAGGAAAGACAAGTCCCTGGATGTCTGGGACCCACGTCGCAGATTCCAGACCTCCAACGCATTAAGCAGAAGCCACGGCGGGCTTTCTCGGTACTGCATCGGTTCCGGCATCGGCCGCTCATCGGTACGACGTGCTCGCGCCGGTCGCGTCACCTCCCCGGCTTGGACGCCAGCCTCGGCCTCAGATCCCGGGACGATCCTCGGGATTCGGGATTTGGGCCAGAAAGCTGGGGGAGGAGACTCGGAGGGAGGCCAGTGGAGCAAGGCCAGTTGAGACCATGGCGGCTTTCCCGCCCTGCCGAACTCCGCTCCGAACCAGCCCCTGGGCCCCCTCCCTTGGGGGTGCATCCCGGCCCGATTGCCGAGGCGGGCCCAGCCGCAGCGACGAGGCGCCTCCGGGAGGGCCAACAAGGACGAGCCCCATCGGGGCCGCCGTTGTCCCGACTGGCACTGGCCCTCCTCCGAGGAAAGCCGAGAGAGGCAGAAGGGGAGGTCGGGAATCGAGAGAACGCCCATCCAGTCACGTCGACTGAGCAAATCTGCACGGGTTCACTCGACATTGGCAAACGAGTATGCCAGTACAGTCCATGGTCGGTTTCGCCAGCGGGCGTGCGTCTCTCCGGATACATTCGCTTGTTTTTCGACGTCGGCGAGTGATTCCGCCTGGGCGCACTCAGAACGCGGTGCCGCGCGCACCCGTGGAGTGGCCCAGCAGCTCTCGCGAAAGGGCGCTGTGCTAAAGGGGTATTTGTCATTCCTCGAGGAGGGAGGGGCGTGGCATCGCAGGTTCGGGGAAACGTGCGACTCGAGTTCTCCAGACTCGGGTGTGTCTGTGCTTTTTGTCGAGCCCGTCCTGGATTCTGAGGGCCCAGTGTTCGTGGGGTGTTTGCAGTGGGAGCTCGCGTCAAAGCTCAGATTGGGATTCGTTATCTTCCTGACGGCCCCGTCGGGCCAACCCGAGTCCCCCGAGCCCGAGTCCTACAGAAGTCTACCCGACAGGTCGGATTGTCCAAGCTGCTTTCGCGAACGTGCGTTGTGCCCAACGGGGGCCGGGGGCGCGCGGCTCGCCTCCTCGTTGTCCTCCTCCTGCTCCGGTGCCTCTTCCTCCCTGCACCGCAGCGTGGCCTGGCCGCGCGATGGCGGCCAGGAACGGCCGGCAGAGTTCCGTTGCCCCCCTCCGGTTTGGGCCAGGGGCTGCGGCTCGCAGGCCAGGGGGTGCTGAAGTCGTCCCACCAGCAGCTGACTCTTGATGGCATCGAGCACGAAGGCATGCCCTTCAAATGGGGCGCCCATCCACAGCTGCCGCACCTGCATCAGAGAGAGCGCTCCTCGTGGAGAGGGGGATCGTGGCGCCGCAGGTCGAAGTGGGACGACGGCGCGCCCCCTGGCGCCGCTGGCCCGATGCCGACGCCCCCGCTGGGCGCCCTCGGGGTCGCGCCCGGGGCGCAGCTGGGCGGCGGGTTCGACAGCAGGCTCCCACGAGCCCTCCTCCTCTTCAGTCTCCTGAGCTTCCTCCTCTTCCTCCTCCTCCTCCTCCTCCTCCTCCTCCTCCTCCTCCTCCTCCTCCTCCTCCTCCCTCTCCGTCTTCAGCCTCCTCTCTTGATTGTGTACGTTGTTCTTCTTTTTTCCTCCTCCTCCTCCCTCCTCTTCCTGCTTCCTCCTCCTCCTGATGCTCCGCCTCCTCCCTCCCTCCCTCCTCCTGCCACCCTCGCTTTCAAAATTTACCTCTAGACCTCTACTGGAGTCGTTCTGACAGGAGGTTGAATTGAATCCAGCCGCGGCGACCATGAGCCTCCCAGAGGCCCTACAAGGGCGAGCCACGCCCGATTGCCTTGAATCCTCGATCCTCGGTGCTCTCCTCGTCCCCCATCTGCCTCCTTCTCCTCCTCCGAGTTTAACCCGGATCTAAGTCCAGGAGGTTCAGGGCTTGGCTGGAGGCTGGCCACAGCCGATGCAGACAACCAATCGTGTTGAGCTATTCTAAGCCGCTTGGGGCGAACAGTTTTTCTGCCCCAGCACCTTACTTTGCTTTGGGGCCGCCGAAGAACTGATATGGCAGCTGACGCGGCTCTCTGTTTGTTTCTCCTTCACTGGGCTCTCTACTTGTTCCTTCTTCTCTTTCTTTCATGGTCCCAAGAGGGCCCCTTAGGTTTTCAAGAGGGCCCTAAGAGGCGCCCAAGGGGCTCCAAGAAAACCCTGAAGAGGCTTCCAAAGACTCCCAAGCGGTCTCAAAGAGGCCCTCAAGAGGCCTCATGAGCCCTTCCCCTCCCAGAGGCAGCCAAGACGCTTCAAGAGGCTCCTGGGAAAGCGACAAAGAGGGGCCTCAGAGGGCCCCAAGAGGCGATTTTGACGGTCCCAGAGGAGGGGGCTAAAATCCCTCCTGGCCTTTAGGGCGTGAGTGGTTTTGATACCTCTCCTCTTCCAACCCCCTTCTTCATCTTCGGTACCCCCTCCCCTGGACGTGGACGGGGCCTTTCGCGAGCGTTCAGAGCGTCCAAGATGGCCCAAGATGGCCCCAAGAAGGCCCCAAAGAGCTAAAGATGGCCTCCTAGATCGCTGAAGATTGCCCGACGTGGCCAAATATAGCTTGCAACAGACCTCCAAGAGACTTCAAGATCCCTCCAAGACGGCTCGAAGTAACCAAAGGGCCTCCCAAGGACGCCCTGGAGAGGCCAACTACCGTCCAAAACCTAATAGAAATCAATGTTTTTGTTTGCCTTCTCGCCCTTTCGCTTTCGACGGGCTTCTGAAGCCTAGAGATGGCTTCTGGATGGATCCAGAGATCCCCAAGAGGAGCACAAGAGAGACCCAAGACGGCCCCAAGAGCGCCCAAGACCGCCCCAAGAGAGCTCGCACAGGCGATTTTGAGTAATCCGACGAGGGGGTCCAAATTGACGCCGCCTTCTTTGTTGGTCGACGGCCTCCAAGATGGCCCAAGAGAGGCCCAAGAGGGGCCCCAGACGGCTCCAAGATGGCTTCAAGAGCGCCCCGAGAGGCCTCCAAAGGGCCGAAACCCTTCTAAAACCTTAATTCGTTGGCCCAACGGACCAGAGGCGTGCTAAAATCTCCAGCAACTGGCAAACAATATTTTTGGTTCGCGCGCGCGGGCCGGCCCCTGGAAGTCCCCGGACGATGAAGTATCCCGGCAAGGTCCTGGCAAGATCCGCCTAAGGAGGCCAGAATTCCCCGGAGCGGTTTTCTAGACCCCCAGAGCGATCGAAGACGGCCTCAAGAGGCCCCCAAGATGGTCCAAGAGGGCTCCGAGTCGCCGACCGATCGGTCCAAGACGCCCAAGATAGCCTCCAGACGGCCGCAGACGCCTCCAAGACGCCCAAAGAGGTCTCCAAGAAGAGTTCTCAAGAGGGCCCCAGGAGGCACAATTCATAGATCTCCTTGGTTTTTGAAGGATTTGGGCGTTCTCACCTGTTAGACTTCCCGACGCTAGAGGCCCTACATATCGCTCCAAGACGGCCGAAGAGGCCTCCAAGAGGGCTCCAAGACGGTCCAAGAAGGCTTCAAGACGGCCCAAGAGGCCTCCAAGACGGCCTAAGATGGCCCCAGGACGGCCCCAAGAGGGGGTCCAGACGGGGAACCCGAACGGACATTTCGAGCCCTCGGCCTTAAGAGGCGCCCAGGAGGCTCCAAGAAGGCCCCCAAGAGACCCCCAAGAGGCTCCAAGAGGTTCCCAACAAGGCCCTAAGAGAACCCCAAGAGGCCTCCAAGAGGCTCCCAGGAGGCCCCAAAGAGGTCCCCAAACGGCCCAAACGCCAGCGATGGCAGAATACGGGCTGGCGGAATGAGCGAAGCGATGACATAAAATTAATGATATTTGTGTTCTCGTCTTTTCGCTTCCGATGGGCTCTTGTGGGCGCAAGATGGCCCCAAGAGGACCGAACAAAGGTCCCCAAAGGGGTCCAAAAGGGCCCCAAGACGGCTCCAAGAGCGCCCCCAGCGGGGCCCAAAAAGGGGCCCAAGAAGCGATTTGGGATGCCCTGTTGTCGGGGCGGAGAAAAGTACCTTCCCTTCTTTCATCGATGCAAATGGCAAAGCTGCAATGCCAAACAACGCAATGCACAAAACAATTGTAATTCTGATCATGGTGGTTGGCGCCATGGGCTTCCAAGCCTCCCTGGACCTCTCCAAACCGCTCTCACCTCGCACGCGGAATCCGAAGCTAAATCTAGAACGGCAAAGTTGCAATGCAAAACAGTGCGAGGCAACAAAACTGCGAACACATCCAATGCCAACAAAGCTGCAATGCACAAAAACTGCAAGTCGGATCATGGTCGTTGGCGCCGTTGGCGCCGTGGGCTTCAGACCCTCCCTGGACCTCCCCAAACCGCTCTCGCCTCGCACGCGGAATCCAAAGCTGACGCTAGAACGACAAAGCTGCAATGCAAACATTACCCTTGCGAAGGACCCAACCACATGCAGCTGTGAGTACCGCGTTGTGGGTACCGCTCTCGGTGAAACCCCCTATGTGGTCACGATCCTCGTGAGGGGTGCGCCGAAATGGGCGGGGGGACGCATGCAAACCTTGCCGCTGGGGCCTTCGGTGGAGCTCCCTATGGGGCCGCGATCCTCGTGAGGAGTGTGCCGAACTGGGCGGGGGGACGCATGCACACCCTGCCGCTGGGGCCTTCGGTGGAGCTCCCTGCCGGGCCACGGTCCTCGTGAGAGGTGTGTAGAAATCAGCGGGGGGGCGCATGCAAACCCTGCCGCTGGGGCATTCGATGGGCTACCTATGGGGCCGCTATACTCGGGAAGGGTGTGCCGACATGGGCGCATGCACACCCTGCCGCTGGGGCCTTCGGTTGAGCTCCCCATGCGGCCGTGATCCTCGTTATGGGTATGCCACATGGGCGGGGGGACGCATGCAAACCTTGCCGCTGGGGCCTTCGGTGGAGCTCCCCATGGGGCCACGATCCTAGTGAGGGGTGTGCCAGAATGGGCGGGGGGACGCATGCAAGCCCTGCCGCTGGGACTTTCGGTGGAGCTCCCTACGGGGCCACGGTCCTCGTGAGAGGTGTACCGAAATGGGGGGGACGCATGCAAACCCTGCCGCTGGGGCCTTCGGTGGAGCTCCCTATGGGGCCACGATTATCGTGAGGGTGTGCCGACATGATGGACATGCGGCCAGCAGAAGCAGGAATGGGAGGAGGGGGAGGAGGGGGAGGAGGGGGGGGCAGCGGGAGGAGGAGGTGAGACGCGGGGCGCTGTCTCTTCAAAACGAGGACCCAACACCACAGGATGGTTGGGAACAATGCAAACAATCTGTAATTCCGATTATGGTGGTTGGCGCCGTGGACTTCAGACCCTCCCTGGACCTCCCCAAACCGCTCTCGCCTCGCACGCGTCTTGCCTCGTGTCGTACGCGGAATCCAAAGTTGAAGCTTAAGGTCAAGCTTCAGCCTTTCGATTTGATGCTTGGCGTCCCGCCGTGCGCTACATCGGCTAAGAATTTTCTTGGCGCTAGTGCACTGGGTGGAAATATGCGCCAGCCCAGGTAGATCCTTAACTTTCCTCACTGGTTCTAGCTTTGCTGTGCGAGGGGTCAGACTCCGATCTAGACGCCCTCGGAGCAATCGGGGCCTCTGGCGGCGACTTCAGGAGGCCCTCGGAGAGGCGCAGCTGACCACTCATAACGTGGAGTCCCACGGGTTCGAGGATAGGGCCAGGTTTCTAGGTATCCCGAGCTCTGGAGGCAGGCCAATGAAATGGTCGACCGCCTGGCTGAGGCTGCCGCCCACAGGTTTCAGTCACCCGATGCTGAGGTCGATACTGTTCGCGAGGTGGAGCGCCTCGCGAGCAGGATCCGAAGGAGGCAGGTGGCGGTGCTTGAGGAGTGCGCTCGATGCAACCCTCGTGGCCCCGGCAGGGTCTTGCACGCGCCGCCCGAGCAGAAGCTGGCTCGAGCAGGCAAGTTTGATCTCTTGATTGCCAGGACAGCGCACGATGTCGTGCGTCCGAAGGGTCGGGAGGTAAGCAGGGCTCCCGATTCTCGTGGCGCCACTGTCTGGAGAGCTGCGGGGGAATCCGCCAAGAGGTGGCCGAGTGGCTGACCTCCCAGCGCGTGCCTGTCCAGGCCGAGATCTCGGGGATGTCGCTTCCTGTGCCGCCCGGCACGCGTGCCGCGGGTAGGGTGATCTACCCGAGCCATGCTGCTCGCGCCCATTGCCAGGATTCTGTCTTCTTCCCCAAAGAGCCTGCTGAACGGGGTACTGTTGTGACAGAAGCTTACTCTGGCCGAAGGTATCCAAAGCAGAGACGTCCTCAAACAGATTTGGTGGTCCGGGCCGTTTCGCCATGCCAGCCCGCACTGGACGGGCACGCAATCGACCTTGGGAACCGCAGTGGTAAAAAAAACCCTGTTCGGGGATACACCTTAGGCGATGCTTAAGAAAACTTAAGTTTTCGGCCAGAGTCTCGATTATTCTTAACGTTTCAATGTAAATCTTAAGATTTGAATGGACATGTTGGGTTTTTAGTCAAGTTCTGAGACTATGAATTTCTTAACCCATGATTTCTTAAGCATTTCGCAGGGGATACTGCACTCGGGCTATATTTCTGTTCCACGTGCGGGTTGTGCCCGGCCCGCGAGAATGGAGTCCTCCGCGGTCTGGCGGAGGAGTGCGGCCCGCCCTCGAAGGCGGAGGTCGGCAACCGTCAGTTGGTCGAGAGACCGGTGTGGCCAGGGCACTCCAAGGCGGCAAGGGATTCAAGGGATTCTAGCAGGGCTCCCCAGCCGTCCAGCGGCCACGCGAAGTCGGGGGCCCCATAGACCCACCCCAGGACACTGTTCACAAACGAGGAGAACTCCTCCCCCTCTTCCTCCTCCCGCCTCCTGCATGTCCCGGCCTTGATGACAGCCCCCCCCCCCCGCCCACCCCCCCGACAGGGTCCCCACTGCTGGGAGCCTCGTCGTGGACCCCTCTACGGGGCTCGTGCTGCCCGCCGAGTTCCAGAAGCAGACGAAGGATCACGCATCGCCGCCGCTTTCGAAGGCCTCGCGCAGGCATGCAGAGGTCTTCCAGGAGACTTCCAGATACCTTCCAGAGACATCCGGAGATCTCGCCTCTGAAGCGTCGTCGTCGTTGTCGTCGGAGCAGGACGAGGAGGGGCAGGAGGAGAAGGAGGAGGAGGATAATGCAGACTTATGGAACCCGCTAGAGGTGCGATAGGGCCCCTAAACCCAGAGAGATGTTGCCTACTGCAGGTGCTGATCTTCTTGCGGAGAGTGACCACCTGACGATGCCCTTCACGGTGGGCCATTGTGGTGTATCATGATTTGTGGAGGATCCTCGTCTGCCACAACCCTCCTAGGGTGACGCTGCGGGCGTTGCGCGAGATGTCCCTGGCCCGCGGTCGCTTTCGAGTGTAGAGGGTCTGGGTTCCCTCACACCCGCCGGACATGCCAAGAACACATGTGTGCATTCCGCAAACCTAGTGACAGCCACCTCTTTAAAGATCTTTGTGCAAATACTGCCGTCGGCAACAAACATGGGAACACGCATATGACATGTACGCGAGACAGCTGGCATTGCCGCGGGGTTGTGTCCTGGCGGCCAGAGCTTCGTCTGGGGATGGGCAAACGTACGAATTAAAGAGCTACCGTGTTAAGCTCACGCATGAGAAAAAGGCCGTGCCATTGACAAATGCAGAACGCACTCATGACCGCTAGCGTTGCAGCTGGGGTGTTTTTTCCTACGACAAGCCCTCACACCACTCGAACACAATATGTCACATTCACATGTACAAGCCTGTGCGAAACATCTCCTGCCAGCCCAGCCGGCCAGCCGAAGACTTGGAATCGCTGGACGGTGCGACTGTTGACGTAGTGTGGTAGCCGGTTGATGGCTCGAATCAGGGTAAAGATAGACCGTCCCAGAATACCTGGATGGCCCGGCTCGATTCGGTCAAACAGAGCCTTTCCGTGGAAATTCTGTGCAGGAGCGATGACAAACGATTCAAGATGGCCAGCATTTGGACGGAACAGTGTTGCAAGAGCAGGAGGCGCCAACCCTGAGGCAACAGAGTACAGCAGTCCCAGAACCGCTATGTCCCGACGCATACCAAGCGGAGCAAAATTATGCTCTCGCAAAGCAGTCTTTGCCGATAAGCCGACCTCGTCTAAAAAATAAGACTGCAAGTCGCCGAATTGCTTCAACATGCTCCTTTTAGCGTTGTAGACCGCTGGTGTGTCGCCCTCCAGATAAGACAGGACGTGGCATTTGTACAATCTGGCTGTGTCTTTCACACCATAGTGGCGCCCTGTCCGGAGAAGAGCCTGGAGACGCCAGCTGGCTTCCGTGGCAAATTGCTGCACGGCTAAATGCATGTCCAATCGTGGGTCGAAAGTAACGTTGAGTAATTTGAAGGATTCACCATGTGGGCTACTCGTATCTAAGACGTGAGCAGACCCTCACCCACGTAAAGCAGACAGATAGGCGCAGAGAGATTCGAGCACCGAGCTGTTCCAGGATGCATGGCTGAGCACACACCAGCAGTTCAAATCATCTGCAAATATCGCTCCAACGAAATCCAAGGGTAGAGTTGCCTCCCGCGCGTCAACGTAGCACACGTTCCAGAATGGTGGGCCAAGCGTGGTACCCTGGAAAACCAGACCTTCAAGCTGAAAAGAATATGAAAGCACGCCATCAACGACAGTATGAGCTGTTCTGGGTGCGATCCAAGACGAGATATGTATCCTTCAGGAAAGTGTCGCTCACACCTCTCGCTTCGAGTTTCTCCACTAGGCGTTCCGCCCGCACGCGGTCGAACGCGCCTGACACATCTGAGCAATATAAGCCAACGCGCTTGCCTCGACCAATCTCCCACAGCCAGCTGCAGACGGCGAAAGCGAGGGCATCCTTGTAACCACGGCGTCTACGATACGCGAATTGGTTATTACCGTATCTTCCCGCGGCTTCAAAAAAGGGCAAAAGAAATTGGCCAGCACCCTTCCCGCTGATATCGCAATGTGTGACATCAGATGTATGCCTCTGTAGTTGTCCGGCTTCGAGCGGCTGCGTCGCTTAAGTAGAGGGAATCGCCAGTGGATTTTCGATGCAGAAGGCCAGGCGCCGCTCTTAAGAATGAGGCGGACCATACATGCTGTGGGTAACACAAGTTGCTGAGCACACCGCTTCAAGAGGCGAGCAGAAATGGCGTCTGGACCAGTCCCGGAGTCTTCTCGCAATTTCCGTAGCACTGTAATCATTGTTCGTGCCCGAATGGGTGCAAAACCAATCATTTACACGTGTTGATCCAGAGGTTGCCGTGTTGTTGAGATTTCATTCCCCACTGCAGCTGGCAAACTAAATTTCGCACTTAAGGTCGTCTTGAACAAGTTCGCCTTGATTTGTGGTGTGGTAGCCCTCTGGCCGTCGCCATCCACCAGAGGAGGTATCGACGAAGTCGAAGACTGGTCAGCTCTTAGCAGCAGAGCGTTACACAGCGACTACCATTTCTTCGACGTCGACGAAGGCTTCAAAGCAATGATTCGTTGCCGAGTGCGGGCCACGTACTTCGCATGCTCGTCCCGGAGACCTTCTGAACATGTATTTCGCTTCCGCGCGTACTCCTCCGTGCCGGTAGCCCAGATCTTCTCGTCGATCAGTTTCTGGCATCTGTCATTCAACCGCGGATGAGAAGATTTACGAAAGGATGCCCGGTGTCGCGGAATATAGGTTTTTGCCATCACTGTCAAATGTTCCGCAAATTTCGCCGAAGCAGCTTGGGCATCGCAATCGCGACAGAATCCTCGCCAATCCGTAGTCAACAGAGCATTGCATAAACCAGCCCAGTCGGCAGCTTTGAAGTGCCATTGCTCTCTAACGATCGGTTCAGAGAGGGATGCGCGCAGCGAAGCTCGTGCAAGCACAAATCTATGATCGCTGATGTCTGGAAGGACCGAACAGGTAGCATCAGGTAGCAAATCGGCAAGAACAAAATCCAACAGATCAGTTCCACGAGTGGGTTTCCCCACCTTCTCCACGAGTCCCATGCTGCAGCAAATTCTTTGCAACTCTTTCCCGTCGACGGTGTTGCTGTGCGAGTGCTGGAGCCGCCGCTGGTTGTGCGTATTTATATCGCCCACGATCATTGTAGCAGTGGCCATATGTTTGAAGGACTCCCACTCGGACTCCAGAGCGCGGATATAAACAACTTCACCCTGCCAAGGAGGACGGTACCACACAGCGAGCAGCAGTGGACTTTGATCGTGGACTTTGATCCGTGTAAGTAATGAGCCAATGTTCTCAAACCGTCAGAATCTGAAACATGCACGGTACAGTCAGAAAATGCCTTCGTCGCCAGCAGCAGTACGCCTCTTCCTTTCCTCCCGTCCTGGTGGTCCAACCAGGATACCTGAACGTAGCCTTGTACATATGTATTGCTGTATTGCGACGGAAGGGTCCAGGATCGTTTCTGCAACAACAAGTATATCATAATTTGGAAACCCAGCTTGCTCCAGACGGTTGTATAATTCAGCACTGTGAGACACAAACTTGCACAGGTCGACATGCATGATGGTGAAATTTACGTAAGGAACTGGCGACTCGCGCTCGGGTTTCCACAAGCTGTCGCCAAGCGGGCGTTGGGGACCCGAATGGGCATTCCACAGGCGGCGCCTGCGCAAGAGAGCATCATGGGAGCGAGGGCCACGGCGATGAGCTCGTCGGGTCACCAATCGGTGGGGCCGCTCTTCTGCCACAGAGTGGCGGGCGGACCATGCATCATGCCTTTGCTGGGACGGGTACACTGAATCTTGAAGAGCGGCCCCGAGCCAGCCCTACGGGATGGAGCGTTGGGAAAGAGGAGACAGGAAGGTGCCCTTCAGGTCGTCCTGGCACTGCTTGAATGCCACCTCCTTGCTCACGACAACGCGCCGCTCGCGCAAGCCCTCCACCTTCCACAAGATCTCTACGTCCTTCCCGGAGGCGGCGCCCGACGCCTAGATCAAGCTCTCCGCCTTCCTGAGGGCGTAGTTCCGCTTCTCCTGGTTCCGCGTGCGGGCGGGCCTCACCGAGAGCGCCTTCCCCCCGCTTTTTAACAGCAACCTCGGAAGCCCCGACGTGTGACAAGAACGATCTGGCCAAGTCAGGGCTGCAGGATTCGACCCACGATCCCTTGGACAGTTTCTGGTTGTTGTAGGGGCCTGTGAGATCGTCGCAGGCCTTGAGGTTGACACCAACACCAATTTCGGCGGTGCGCCTCCACCGAGGGACGAGGGACAAAGACCCCAATCTCAGTGATGGTGGTAATATTCTGGCTTCCAAGGTGGCCGACGTATTACCACCAACACCGAAATCTAGGATCATCTTCCCCCTGTGGTGGCAACCCCCTGTGTTGGTGTTGGTGCCAATTTCCAGGCCTCCAAGATCGCTGCCGCAGCCGACTGGGCGGAAAGAGGAAACATGTGCTCTCGAGAAATTCTCCACCTCCTGGATCCTGTTGTCTTCGGAGACCCCCTCCGGCCACCCCACGAAAGTGACCCGACGGAATCCAGGGTCAAGACGATTCAAGGTGTTCAGAGGGTCTTTGAAAGCTGGCGCAGAAGAAGAAGGAGCCGAGGCTGGAGGAGGAGTGTCCTCGGGGTGGGCCACGCGGACGTCGAGCTCAGGAGGCGATCCTGAATGGGGTCCACGACCTCCGAAATCTTGGTATTGATCTCCTGCTTGAGGTCGGTCGACAGGTCATCACAATCGGTCTTGAGGGCCCTCTTGTCCACCGTGTCAGACAAGGCAGCTATGGCCTGCAGGATCTCCAGGTGGCCATCGCTGCTCGAAGCCGCCCCCAGGGAACCGGATGTAGCTGCTACCTTTTGGGCCACACGTGTAATCTTGTCGAGTTTGGCCTTCTTCAGGGGACTGCGACGGGCCTCGCATACCTGCCTTGGCCAAGGCATCCATAAGGTTCTGCCTTCTATCCTCCAGCGTGGAACCGATATGTCGGGCCACTGGGGTAATGCGGGTGA